GGTGAAGTAGATGCAGCGCAAGTCTACTATCCCTTAAAACTAATCCCAGCCCATCTTGCAGCGACGCAGATGGTGGACATCGTCAGATGCAACAGTCGAACTGTCCTCTGTATATACCCAGCCAACTTTTCCCCAGCTGTAAACCTCAACATATCCTTGCTATATCAACACCATCGAGTGCACGGAATTGGACCATCTATATAACTGCCGAAAACGATCTTTCATCAAACTGCCTTCTCCGAAGCAATGTTATCATTTAGGGTTGTCTGAAGAATGGGATTGTCATGCCATTTACCTCAAGAACTTAGTTAAACTGGCATATATGACAGCACTTCCGCTGAGTATCCGTACGCACCGTGTATATTTCATTTGGATCCAGGTCGTAGACTCACGAAGAGTGGGAGTTCGACGTATTGACTAATATGGAAAATTTCGGTAATCGAGAGCTTGACGACCTTTTAAAACAACTGTAACCTGGTAGTTGGTAATTGTACACCGATCTGGTTCAGGATGTACCCATCCTGGTTGATGCCTTGTTTGCGAGATCTTGGTACCCCAAGTATATGTGTTCAAGGCGAACACATTAAGCTATGGGTTCGTGGTCTTGCCGGTTTATATCGGGAGAGTGAGTCTTAAAGCAGAACGGGGCGGGTGCGTCCCGTTATCGATCGGCAAACGCTTATACACTAGTCGAAGTATTCCTACCTGTCACCCTTAGCTTGCAACTTTCTTATAATTCTTCACGCAATTTTGGAATCCGATCAAACAGCCTTTACCTCAGAGTGCAGTAAAACGCTCCTCTCAGTATTTGGGCTTTATGTTTTGAGGACCCCATCAAATTCGAGTAACCAACATAAACAATACGCATCAATTTGGTCATGTTGTCGGCGTTTCTTAGCCAAATAAAAATAATTATTGGGACATTTAACCATCCACCATTAGACCAAAACCGACAAGGAACCGAGCAACAGCGGACGGGAAAGTAGAAGAACCGATGGAGGATGTCCCGCTCAGCCCGAAAAGCTTATTCTACCAAGCATTGGAACACAAGTGAGAATTATATGTACCATTCTATTGTTATATAAGCAGTGCGTTTTCAACCGCTTCTCA